GTATGTTTATTGCAGAGCAATGGTTAACGAGTTTGTTTCGCAAATCATTTTGCTCTACACTGTGTGTGCGACATTATTACCGCCTTGTGCTAAACTTAATAAATAATTATTTAAACTTCGATTAGGCTTTTCTAAGAAAGCTAATTGACCTCTCACATCTAGAAGATTGACACAATCCAACCTTCATATTCTTCCCCCAACCCCCATTTAGCATTTGGAAGGGGGATTTAATCTCAACTACTTACTATTGGTCAATGAAAAAAGCGTGATTTTCAAAAGCATTCACTAAATTAAATTTAGTCAGTCACAAGTGCCATACGTGATCAATCCCTCTTTCGATCCATGACTGACTAGTCAGAAAATTTTCCCGCAGTAGGTTGCTACTTTTTTGTGCGGTATACTGGTTGCCAACCAAGGCTATAGAACATAGTCTGTCCTGCTATTCAACCCATAACTGGGGGGAGAAGAGGTAGACTCATGCATTTCCTAGGCTATTTGCGCGTAAGTGAATCTAACATACCCGACTGGAATTCGAACACGGCTCCTAGATTACTAATTAGATTACTTCGCTAAAAAGATTATTTTTGCAATGAATATTCAATATCCATCCTTTGACAATGTACGGAGCAAGGTCAAATATCTTGCAGGAATCTCTCATCGCCACTATTAAGAGTCGGAAGATGACATGGTTTGGCTACGTCACACCTTGCATGATGGAGCTTGCCTCTGCAAATATTTTTTCACAGTTTTATGGCTTCAACTACCAATAAAATGTATTGCTGGTATATTTACTATAAAAATGTATTTTTATACTTTCATAGTGTTTGCGTGTTCACTATTTTACCATAGCTGGGGTTCTAATAGATGTTACCACCCCGGTTGACCGAGGAACAGCATCAATTATGGTTCCACGCTCCTCAAAATCTACTGATCAGAGACCTTGCTGCCGAGTGTAGTTTATCGTCATGTCCAGGATTAAGTGAAAAGATCGTTGTGTATGTACATCTATCCAAGGTACATCCGAGGATTGCGGAGGTTGAAGGCAAGTCAGTGAGATCTGTAACGTACCCCCTATACATATGCTCAAATCTGGAGGGCGTAGAAGTTAATAGAATACACATGAAGTCAACTAAGTGTCGTGTCACTGTGCACAATTGTTGAGTGCGTTAATTTACCGCAATAAATCACCACCCCTAAGAAAGAAAGTGAGCAGAAAGGTGTGCCAATGGTCTGCACGGGTGACCTTTTCTCAAGCATTGGACCGGATGACCCATGATTCATCACAAAGCGGGACGCACTACTCAAAAGATTCAAGGTAATTTTTCGTAGTTTGTACCGCAGCCATTTTCTAATTTATTCATTTGAAAATGAAAACATTTCTTCTGTAGAGAAAAAACTTATGAACGTTTCCTATTTCAAAAGCAAAAGATGTTTGCACGTATGATCTTCCTTAGTGAAAATCGCCGATGGTGTAAAATGCTGACAATTTTATTTTCCCCAAAAGTTTACAAACTTCAAGAAACATCGTACTTAATAATTGTTTATGTATGTGGTTATGTATGAAAGTGTGTGTGAGTAAACAAGTAAAAAGGAAAGAAAAGAAAATTTTAAGAAATGTTATTTTCCTTATAAAATTAAGCTTGCCATTTAGAAAGACCAAACAGGCCCCATGTGGCCCACGCGCCATATTTTACTCATGACTGGTCTACAACAAGATCTTTGTGTATTATACCTGTCGAGATAGACTCCAATTTTAATTAATGTTCTTGCCAGTTCGAACAGAAAACCCCTCACCCCATTACAGAACCACCAACAGCCTATAAAACATCCCGTTGATTGTTTGCATCTATCGCCTCATACTGTTACCATCACATACGAATTCGACATCTGGTCTAAAGACTTAGAAATATGTCTTGTGACAGGGTAATACTGCGTCAAACTTCTACGATCCAATAGCTAAATTCTCTGGAGCAGGTTAGGCGCAAGAGCCAATGCTGTGACGTCAATAATGGTCCATGTTTTGGTAGACAATTTAAAAAAAAAAAAACATGGAATACAATGTACAATTCATGATGTTTTGATTGGTGATCTGAGCGGCACAAGTGTTGAAACGAATGTGATGATCCTCTTCGTCGGATTCTTAATATATTTACATGTAGCCAGCGATTCTGTTTTTGAATCCTCTTTAGATGCCCAATGTCTGTACGTGTCGTTGATGGCTGTATGAAATTCACTTATTCTTAGTATATCCTTGCTCTTAGCAAGGAAATAAAACCACTAAGACGTAAGGCTGTTGCCTGAGAAGAAGCGAGAATAGTTGTTAAATCGGAGATAAAATCGACTCTGGCTCCAACTATCATTCCTTGGTTAAACTTAAATTTTATTCGTTTCTCATGGCTGCCATATATACACTGCCACAGCCACCCTACCTATTTACCGATTACGTCAAACAAATATCATCCGACTGAGTCCGTTCTTACCAGTCGGGGAGGAGAAAAGGATCCAGCGTGCCTGACTTTGTTATTTCTGTCTATAAAATTCACCTTTTATTCTTTTAATTATAAACCTAAACATAAAAAATCCTTCTTTACTGTTGTGGGACTCTCCCCTTTTTACATAAGATGGACTCGTCCAAAGTATACTTATACTGACAGAGAGAATACCTTCTGTTGAGATACGTTGAGACAGGTTGAGAGATACGGAGACAGACACAGGGTGTTCTCAGAGAGTTATACAAGAGTCCAGAGAGAGATATGATTATGGCTTTATTTACAGAGACTTGTACATATACGTTCTACTAACCCGCATTCCTGGACTACTAATCTTCACTTCAAGTCTGTATTCTTACGTTTAATACACTTATTTTTCTATCTCAATTACTGGCGTTGGTTATTTATTTGTGCAGGATTCCATTCACGGAATCCACAACATTTACAAAAGAAGAATTTCTGTTGATGCTTGATTTGATTATTGTGACTATCTCAGGTTCATCAAATAATTCGGATCTGACTCTTGCAAAGTCTCAGATTAAACCAAGAATGGTGCATTGCTTCCATATCAGGGTTGGAGCTGTCCAATCCACACTTTTTGGCCTTGATGGACTTCAAAACCGTTTACGCAGCCTTGTAGGTGATGAATTGTTTTCCAACCTACAACCCTTTTCCCACAGACTCTCGCTAATTTATCACTATTTTCAATGCAAATGTTGAGACGACCAACATTTCTTAGTTCCATCAGTTCAGACCTCGGGTCAAACGTTATCTAGTATACATATCCTTTAATAGACCCCATGCAACGAACCTCTATCTTGAGTGGCTCTTGGACTTGTACTGAGTAAACAATAATATTTTTAAAATTCTACCAACAAATTTATTTTTCTTTAGTTCCGTAAAAAGCCTAATACAGTAATAAAATTTAAATACAGTGACGAAAGTGGCCAGTTCTTCAGTCAGTAAGCTTATTGGTGTCAACACACGTGTCTGTTCACCTGGCAGATAATTACCAAATGCTACAACTTATAAGTCCATGGTGCCGTTTCTTTGTAGGAATATATCTTTCCCAGATATAAAATCTCCAGATTTCAGTCTCCAATTTAAGAAAATCCCAAACTTGCTGCTTCACGTTCGTTGAATATGTCCTCACCAGGAACATAGTAGATGAATCCGGTTAGTTTTAATTTGGAGTCCTAAACATGGCTTCTCCAGAAACACAGGAGAATCTTCATATTATATATAAGCGCCTTCCTTTTTGTTTCTTCTTACACTCTGCTCGTTGTGTAAATATATGATATACTGTTCTCCACGTGGGACATGCATATATGTATATATAGTTTTGGGTATGTATAAAACTCTCTGAGAACAAATCATGTTTGTCATTCCTTTTTCTTTCAGTTCCGTCGGTGAATTACTGCGTTATTATATCATTGATATAATAATGCCCATAATGGGGGAATCGTAAATAGGAGAATAAACCTACCATAGATCTCTTCCGTTATACAATCAATATCCAGTGGAAATCAAACACACTGGACATGGCTGATGGAATTAATTTGCATACCGCTGTACTATGCAAGGCGCATTTTGTTGAAAATTATGAAGTTGAGCCTAGTCTGGCTTAAGACTAAAATAGTTCGGCACCCAGTGAGGATCGCAATCTGAAAGACTAGATTTTTCAGTACTGCAGTATTGCAGATGCCATTGTCGAATACTTCTGCTTTTTTTTGGGGGGGGGGTGTCATCCGAACTTTTATCGCTAATTCGTTTAATATTTCACTTCGGTAACAATTAAGCGCCTCTTCTTGAAGTTTTTCGTGATGAAAATCAAAAGCAGATGAAATTTAATTTGAATTTGTTTCTTATACATTTTAATTCTGGTGGTAATTATTAAAAAAACACAATAGCAAAACAATTTATAAACAACGTCTTTAAAATTACTTTCTCCGCGTGATTAACAACGAAGAGGCGCTTATTGAATCGCTTAACAACGAATATAGTTTTACACAAAATAAACGAAAACAAAATTAACGGCTTTTTGTTGTCGCTTATTTCTTACAAATTTCTTAAGGTTTCGTTTAGCAAAGGTGTTAGTATATGAGGGATAGACTAATGCCTGTAGTGGGGCCTGGAGAGTAAAGAAGACTAAAATATTTCTTTCCCCTTCCCAAGCACCTAATTTATGGTCTTAAATTTTTTTATATGCAGCATAATAAAAATGCATCCTCGCAGAAGTTGTGCAAAGCAGAATTATTGTTTCTTGTGCTGTTATTGCAAGTTGAAAGGATCCGGTTATTCTGTCCAAGAAAGAAATCGGAAAAGAATTTGTCTGACTTTACTACTTTGTTCTTTCAGCAAGTCCTCTTTTTTTCCGCTTGGTCCATTTCCAATAAGAATTGTTACCGGTTCCAGTCAACAGTTTCCTTCGGCATATATTTTTCTAACGTATTCTGAAGCTCCAACAGACGATTAGCAATTCCTTCTTTCTACGATGGATCGATTTTTTACCGTTCTCCAATCCTTTCCATGAAAAAGAGGAAATGAAGAGAGAAACTGAACATTTCAGTTCGGCGATTCCAAGCTGAAACTTTTACATGGCAAGGTTCGATTCATTGAGTCTGACAAATCGGCAACAGACAAAATGAATTCGTTGTTCCCAAACTTTTGCGCCAAATTGTTTCCATGTTCTCAGAGGAAATGGCAATTTCTTCAGACCATTTCCTAAGAACTAGGTACAAAAAAAACACAGCATCGTCAAACGTACAGCGTAGAGCAGGTTGAAAGAAGAAAACTTTATATTCATTTCTTATTTCGTTAGAGAAAGAAAACCCGACAACTGAATGTCTAATCGGTCGACTCTTTCAGTGGCTGCCTTTAGGAGTTAAAAGTTGAAGTGTAGCGTCAGAGGAATGTAGACACTGAGCGGCAAACGGCTAGAAATATTTACAGATACGAGCGTACCGACATATGAGTTTTTTGAGATACGAGCCGGATTTTACACGAATTTTACCTTGAGATACGAGCTGAATTTTGAGATTCGGGCGAGTTTCAGTTAAGCATCTTCTTGTTGGTGCGGCGAGCGCCAAGCTTCGAAAGTATTTCCATTCGCATGCATGTGTTCACCTCGCTCTGGAAGGATCTCTCTTGTTTTTGTTTTTTTTTTTTTTTTTTGCCGTTATTTTGTAAAATTCCTTTAGTGACACGACAGCTCTGAAGAAAGTAAGTGTAAAGAGTAGTGGTGAAAATCTGAAACGTATGTTTTCGCTTCAGGTAAATCGAGGAAAAACATGAGGAAGACGTACGAGTAAATGGATTTGGGGAGACAGTATGAGCGTTCCACATCGGCGATAAATATAAAATTAAAAATTTTCAAAAAAATTAGTTACAGTAATGGATAAAATGTAAACGTTTCAAAAAAAATAAAAATCAAGTGATAAAGTTAATCTTTGGTATTGTAGACTGGGCTAGCTAGCTGTTGTCTCTCTCTCTCTCTCTCTCTCTCTCTCTCTCTCTCTCTCTCCTCTGCCAGTTGGCCTATGACTCATCTGAACTTTATGGTTTAGTACAGTTTATTTCTTTACAATTTGTTTTTTCACTTATTTTATTATTTGTAAACTACATTTCTTGTTAACCCACAAATATTAAAATAGGGATGAGTTTTAGGAAAATAAGGGTCATTTTAAGGCCTTAGGACAGATCGGAAATATTCCCATTAATTTCAGTGGAGAATATTGATTTGAGATACGAGTCTTTTGAGTTACGGGCTCCGTTTTTGAATGAATTAAACTCGTATCACGAGGCATTTACTGTATACAAGAATTTCTAGTTTCTAGTTCGCCATTCGTTTGCGAGAACTATAAATAAATCACCAGGACAGATGCGTCAACAAGTTTGAATTTGGCTTCAGAATGAAATATTTATGCATAGCCAGACTGCATGCTAAAGTGTAAGAAATCATAATAATTTATTCTTCTCTGTTAAAAAGGGGAAAAAAAAGAAATTTTCTGAAAAAAAATATTGTTTACCATGAAAGTTAATTAAATTAAAAAAAAATATTAAATCACAAAATAGGGTTTTTGTTAAAGTATTTACCAAATGAATCAGCTTATTCAAATTTCATCGATTGGTTTGCGAAATTGAATGAAACATAGAGTTTGAAATCTCGACAAAAATGTTAGCAATAACTTTAAACAATACTGAATAATGTAAAGATTTCAACACGTTGACGTGTGTTGCAAAAAAATCTAGTGCTTATATAATTCTGCAAAAATTAATTATAGACACACGTATAGTTGCCAACAGTCCTTTATTGAAAAGGACAATCCATTATTTACTTTTTTCTGTCCTTGTCCTTTGTTGGATTTGGAAAGGACATCAAGTGTCCTTTATTTTAAATACTTTTCCCCTCCAAACATTTTCCAAGGGAATCTATAATAATGAATAATAATAGAAATTTAGATTTTTCGCGGACTTGTACAAAGACTTGATTAAAATCTACTTGGCAACACTGAAAAGGGCCCGGAGGCAATTCCACACACATACATTGTGATTTCAGAGACTTAGCTACTGACTTATGTCAAAGTTTTTTCTTATTTTTTTTCTAATTGTTCACTCAATACAAGGCTCAAAAGTCAGTCAAGATAGAGTGTTACTAAATGATGTTGCTCAGTGTGGGTCAAGAGGTGCATATTATGGAGGTATATAAGATAGGGGTTGAGCCAAGATTTGAAGAGGTTAAGATTGTGGTAATATTGGAAGCACCCTCCTGGGAGTCCTTTCCACAATGCTGTAGTTCTGGGGAAAAATCTGTCTGTTTGGGACTTCTTCCTCACCAAATGAATATGAAGTGAATGAGTAGACGCCAGTGCCTCAGTACATTCAATCTCAACGTAATTTAATCATTCATGTCTGAGGAGTGATTAGAAATCTGAAATAACTAGATTTTCGTAACCGTAGCAATACGAGTCAGCTAAGGTCTTGTTAAATCGAAAACAGCGGGACATGTCACAAAAGTGGATACGAAACATTTACTTTCGGCCGATGGTTATCAGTAAGTGAAACCAACGTCAAAGTACAGAGCAAGAGGCTCAGACAGAAAGAAAGTCACAGAAGGAAGATAAATTATGTTTTTTTGTTTTGTTTTGTTTTTGTTTTTTTGTTTTTTTTTTATTTTTTAGACAAGACAATGTATATTGTTAGCTATAAAACTGACCATCCCGCGAAAAGGCACACAGAGGAACGAATTGGTCCTCGCAGAATGGACAGGGAAGACGGCCACTGAACTGTACACCTCACTACTCACCTACGCCTCATCTCTAATTTTCTCGCTTATAGCATAAGTTACTACGAAAGAATAAAATCTATTTTACTGCTAGAAATTGTTTTGTTCTTCACTCGTGGATAACAATCTGGCAGAAGAGTAACTTTTAAGCCTCAAACGTTTGACTGGAAGAAACTGCATCTTGTCAATGAACCTGGTGTCTGGTTTGAGCTTCAACACAACATAACATTGGTGAACTTTTAAAATAGAACATGGGCTAAAGACACAAATGATTTTTAAACAGCAACTGTCTTAAGCACATAAAGAGAAATAAGGTCAATGACAGCGTAAAGTCTACAGATAAATCTCAAAGCTTGCTTAGATTATGTTGCAAAAGAGCTAAGCTACAATTGGTATTTAGACGAGATTGCTGTTGGTCACCAGTTTGTAGAAGGGGAGGTTCTACATAGCGTTTGATATTGGTTGAAGAAGAACTTTGACGTCACTTCCGCAGTATCAGAGAGTGAGCTTAAATCGGAATGGGTGATAGCATAAACAGGAAATGGCTAAAATAAACAGGACGCATAGGTATCCTGAGCCTTGAATAAACAGGGCTCAAATGTATCCTGAGCAGAAGAAAATGCGAGCTTGTGTGGACATATGCCGGGAGAAGCGTGGTCACACGAAGTTGAGTGGGCATATGGCTGGAAGAGGCATGTTCACAAGAAGTTTCATAAGCGACATACTGGAAGAAGGTGTAGCTCCGTGAAGTTGCGTGGGTGTCCAAATGTTATAAAAACGGTCCAACACTTGGCCTGGAAAGAGGCTGGCTAGAGTTTCACTGAAGAGTTTGTCTCTGTCCATTCCTGTGCGCACATTCACAACCTCTCTGATTCTCCCTCACTATCCCCGATTCCCGCAACTCGAAGAATTAAAGCTATTTATATATATGTTCTATATATCAGTGTTCGTTACCTATTTGAGTCCAGCAGCAATATACAACAATTGTAACGGATGATGTTAAGAATTTTTACAATGAAGTTGTGGAGTTTCAAAAGAAATGAATTTCAACACATGGATGAGTGTTACATAAGTATTTATTATGAAATGGACAAAGTCCGACAATTATTTTAAGACATTTTTATGTTTATACATTCTTTTTATAGATGCAAATATTTAAGTAAATGCTCTGTTTTATAATAAACAGGATTAAACGACATTTACCGGCCTGAATGTCCGAGAAATTTTCAATTTGTTACGATAATGTCGACAAGCCAACATTTGTCTGTCTTTCCGTTGTTATCTTAAGAATTCGGTGTCGAAGTTCTTTCCTTTTATTGATGATCTTAAAAAAAGCCACAAATTATTCAGGCATTTTCTTTTGAAAGTTTAAAGAACAATCAGATTTTAATGGATATACTCAAAATGCGTTACAGGGGCTAAGACACAAATTATTCAGACACTTTCTTTTGAAACCTGAAGGAGTTATCAATTTTAAACAGATATACTCAGTGGTGGCATCCTAAAGTTTGGCACCGATTCGCGCGAACTGATTCTTAAAATTATAAAAGCTTAGCGAACCGGTTGTTGGATTATCCGAAAATAATCTTATATATTAATAGCCGATATTTAATAGCTAAAAATATAATTAATATCATTGCTGTAAATTCTGCAGAGGTTGAAAGAGCGTTTTCTGTGATATACATAATTTATTCTAACAAAAGAAATAGTCTTGAAGTTAAAAATGTGGCAAATCTTCTAGTCATAAATTTGATAGGTCTTCCATTTGATCTTTGGGACTGCAGTGATTCAGTTCGAATGTGGCAAAGAAACCATAAACCACAGCTGATGGCACTAGAATCAAAGAGTAACATACTTCTGAACAGAAATAGGATGAGAACAGAATTTCAATCTGGAAATATCTTGATAAATAAGTGTTTTCTATTCAATTATCAAAATGATTTAATTCTTTTTGATAGTATAAAATGATTTGTTTCCATTCTCAGATTAAAAAGAAAATAAGCAGAATAGGTTAATTAGCCTTAATTAAAAACTTAAAGGAAAGATATGCAAAAAACAATATTGCATTTTTATTAAATAAGTATTTGTTATTTGAATCATTAAACTGTTTTTAAAATAGTGGGAGTATTTTGTATGTTAAATGATAAATCTTTTAAGCTGCACACCCGAATAAAACCAATTGTACTTTGTACCCACTTTCCTGTTTGCATTTTTCCCCAAAATTTGATTCCAATCGATTAATGTCTGGCTATTCAAGAGGGTGTGACTGACGGACGGACT